ACTAATTATTTTAATGTATCTGGATGACCTGTTTCAAATGCCTCTTTAATCAGCTTAATTTAGCATACTTTACATTTGCATTTTATATTCAGCCTCATTTGTATTGCCACATTACACTTTGAATGATATAATTACTTCAGTACTAAAGGCTCCAGAGCTTTGATTATTTGAGGTGCGTAGACCAGAATGGGATTAATGGTAGGTTTGAAGGTAAGAGGACATTAATGCATTAGCAAGAATCAGAAAGTCTTCCATAACATCAGTGAGTGTTTTGTGACATTCTTCTTTGCTCCTTCTTCCCCTTCCTCTTTTAATGTCAAGTTGTATAGATAAACAATGAGGCAACAGATGATTTCTTGAGGTCGCTGGCTTGGTTCCTCACATTTATTTATGAAGTCCTAGCCAGAGGCTTCCAGCTTTTAAAATAAATTCTACCAATGTAGTTGGGAAAGATCAGATAAAACAAAAAAGCAAGGAAATAAATTTTTTTTGGTACCATGCAACTTTCACTCAGATCATCACCCTTCCCTTCTACTGGTGACATAGGGAGGAGAATCAGATAGAGGTTAAACCTGTGTGTTAAGAACAACTTAATAATTGAAATAAATTATAATAAAAAAATAGTATTATTCATAATAACTAATAATAATTCTGAAAAAAAAAAGAGAATAAAGCCCAGGAGAAACAACAGCTGCACAACATGATTTCTCACCACCCACTGACCAATGCTCATTCCATCCCTGAGCAGTGATCAGCCCCTCCTGGCCAACTCTCCCAGTTCATTTACTGGGCAGAACACTTTATGGGCTATGGAGTATCCCTTTGGCCAGTTTGGGTCATCTGTCCTTTGCTTCCTCCCAGCTCCTTGTGCACCTGCTGGCTGGCAGAGCATGGGATGGGGGTGGCACTAATGGCATTGGCTTGGGGTGAGCACTAATAGCAACAACTAAAACATCAGTGTGTTATCAACATTATTCTCATTCTGAATCCAAAACACAGCACTCTACCAGCTACTGGGAAGAAAATTAACTCTGTAATCATTGAGACCAGATAATGGTTAGGGAATTTGTTAACATATAGCTGACATCTTTAGGTTAGTATAAGCTTATTTTTCCAGCATTGTGTGTCATGATATTATCTGTATTTAATTAATCTGTGGTTAATTCTTTCATACTGTCTCGTGTAGTATTTATGGGAGGGAGCGGGCAGTTAGCCATTGCAACTTTGACAACTAGCCAATACATTAATAGAGATGATGAAAGCTGTGGAAAATTGCTTATTTCCTACCTTGTTCCACAGAGGGGATTACAAGAATGGAAACTCTCCAAAGACAGCAAAGCTGAGCACCAAAAAAAGCTGTTGAGAGGAAAGTTTAGAAGAGACGTGGGAAATTTTGGGTAGAACAAGGAGCAAAATATGCTTCCCTAGACAACCTAGGGTAGACTAATCTGATATTATGACAAGCTTTGACCCGGTCAGGAAAGGTGACCAGCATGACAAAGACTGTACTATTCTAGAGGAAAAGAAGATATGAAGGAGGATCCTAGAAAATTTTACAACACATTAGTTCTCGGGCCCAAAGAGTCTTTTAGAGAAGTTAAGAAAATCCACCCTGATCTGGTACTGAGGACTAGTTATTTTTCATCTCTGTTTCAGTACTTTCTGTATTGTAAAGTCAACATTAGTAGTATCATGCAGGCTGGTTCATTATTTGTTTCCTGGCAGTTGCTTCATACCTGTCATTCAATCCTGATGTAATAAGTCACGTGCAATCATGGAAAATTGTTACTCTGCATTTCTTTATGTGCCTATACCCCCCAGACAGCAGCCCCTGCCAGTCTTCAAAAGTTCTCCTGCACTGATCATTTTGATGGACCATCTTCCCACCAGGACACTGGATCTGAAGCTCTCCTAGAAGAGCCGTAGAAGGGTCCTGGACAGGCTCCAGTCCCTTTTTAAGAGTCCTTAACTTGCATTCCACTCTGCCTGAGCTCCTCTGAGCTTGTGGAGTCAGGCCTTGGATGAGCTGATTTCATGGGAGTGTTGGGGCAGGGTACTGTTTTGATTCCCCCTTCATTGCTCTGCTGTGCTCCTTTGGGGGTGTGCAGACAGCTTTGGCCACGTAACCTAAGCCATCCTAACAACCTGGGATCAGTTTGAAGGCTTTGATTATCCTCTGATCAGATCCACACTAACTTATTCAAAGGGGAAAATGATGCATATGACATTTCCATTTTAGAGCAAATTCTACTTTAAGCCCAGCTCAATCACAGAAGCCCAGGGCATCTGCATCTCGCTACACTTGCGGGCCTTCCTTCCTTCCTTCCTTCCTTCCTTCCTTCCTTCCTTCCTTCCTTCCTTCCTTCCTTCCTTCCTTCCTTCCTTCCTTCCTTCCTTCCTTCCTTCCTTCCTTCCTTCCTTCCTTCCTTCCTTCCTTCCTTCCTTCCTTCCTTCCTTCCTTCCTTCCTTCCTTCCTTCCTTCTCTTCTAATTCTTTCTCTCTTTCATTGTTGTTGCAGATGAATAATCTGAGGAGTTTTAAGGCACCTTCTTGAACAGATCAATCTTAATGAACTATTTAAAAACGGAGTAGGTTATTTTAGAAGACTAATTTATGGAAGCCTTCTCCAGAATTTTACTGAGATAAATGCAGATCACAGAAATCATTATTAAAACATACCTCTTCTTATTTAGCACTTGGGAGCCCATGCTTTGAAGCTTTCATTCTTTGAAGCTGTTTCATTTAACAGGGAATGGATCTGCATGGGCAGATCAGTGCACTATGTAAGGGTCAGCTGGCACTGTCCTGTAGCTGTCACAGAAATGTCTCCAGCCTCCTTCTGCAAAGCTCCATATCCAGCTCTGGTCAGCGTGGGAAGTCAGAAACCTTCAGAGAAACTGTGGTGTCTTGAACTACAAATACCATTAATCTGGAGATAATCAAATCCTTTAAGCTGTTTTTAATCTTTGTAGGTTTTAAAGCTGCTTCTTAGAAATTTTGAATCAAGTGATGCTTTCTTGTCAGTCTCTGGGTTCACTATTAATCAGGTTCAGAGGGTCTTGTACCACATGGATGGGGCTAGGCACTTCTCCTCCCGTCTCTCAGCTCAGGTGTCATGGCAGATGGCTGTATCAAAGGCTCACATTACAAAATCTTGCTCCTGCTTCTTTTTTTGTCAAGAAATATAACTGCCCTCAAAGTCCCTCCTCAATACTTATGTCTCCTAATTGTTTTTTCCTCCAGAAATACAGGGTTTGGCTTTTTTTTTTTTCCTAGTTCCTAAGGATAAAATATGCTTCCCAGGAATAATTGGCCTGATTGCCCTTTCTTGCAAAAACACACTGGAAATCCCTCTCAGGAGGTTTCTTTGGAATACTTTTTACATTTTCATAACCCTACTCCAATGCTACACTATTGCATGAAATGACACCAATAATTTACAGGTCATTTTCCCTCTTTTTCCACCCTTAGCGATGTCTGTCCCAACAAATTCTTTTGCCAGCAAGTAAAAATACTAACTAAACACATTTTCTTATCTTCAGCCCATGACAATTTATTGCCAAGGGAAGATAGGGTAGAAAAGTTAGGTAAGCTGATTTTGTGTTTTGCTAGGGTGGCTAGTTTCACATCAAGAATCAGCAAAAGTGCTACATCATAGCATGGCAATTTTTAGCTGATGTCAGTGAAATAAATGGTGCAGGTGGTACCAACTTTGTGCCCTTTGGCACTTGTCATTGATCAGATGGACCAGGCCATGTGATATCCACTGGTTTCAGATTATGCCTGTACATAGGTAGTTTTTCTATGCTGACAAGGTTTTACAGAAAGGAGGGGGGTGAAGGGAAAAGCAACAGATTGTGCATGGACTGGAAAAAGGAGACGTAAAAATGTAGGGCTAGATCATCCCATGAGCACTGCATTATGGCTCAGGAACCAGGGAGAGCCCTGGATCTCCCTTGAATCCCTCAGGGAGAGCAAATGGCAAAAGCATGCAGGTATGTAGTTGCTGGTCCCCTTCCTTCCAGTGCCCAAGAGGCAGCAGTCAAGAGATGGAGATAAGAAAGGACAGCATGTAAATTCTTGGCATAAATTTTGGGGGAGAAGTATTTTCTCATTTTTTGTGACACATCCATCCTTTTTTCAGAGACTTAAATATTGAACCTGAGTCTAAAGCCAGCTCCTTTGCTGGGGTCAGGGCAGTCAGCAGCTCATCATCTGAAGTGCATGATAAACACTAATCACTGTAGCTGAGGTTATATTGTCACCAACTCCCTAAGCACTGATCAGTTGTTAAACAATGATTGAGCTCATTAAAGAAATGTAGCAATGAGTAATTTTTGTGTAACCACCAGAAAAACAGACCTCTGTAGTGCAGTCTGATGAGTGGCCCAAGAGTGCCTGTGCCCCTGTGCCCTCCTGGGCTCCAGCAGCAGGCAGCAGCCAGCCACACTCACAGATAGGACTGTCCTCAGCTCAGGCTCTAGTGCACTGAACATCCTCTCTCCCAATCCCAACACATTTTATCTAACTCTGGTGAGAATGATGAGTGATATAATAAAGAAAGAAAAGAAAATCCCAGCAGTAAGTACTGGAAAGAGATGAACTGCCTTGAGGATTTTGATCATGACATTTAAATTCCAATCTGCAAATCATGTCGTTCTATTTTCTTATATTCTATTTATAAACTCAGTGTTGTAATCACAGAATTTTTGGCATGATGTTTAGAAATTAAGCCCTTGACCCTAGAATGTAATTGCATTTGTCTGCTTATATTGTTAGTTTATGTTCAACTTCTATTGGTTTCAAAGGCTCATATTATGTAAGGTCTTTGACTGGGGCTGTGTATTTTACAGCTTCAGAAAGAGGTAAGTTATTGTTCATAGGGTCAAGAAAAAAAGAACAACAAACCAAGCACCTATTAAAGGACAAGCTGTGAGTTTTCTTCTTCTACACAGCAGTTAATTCTGTGACAGAGCTGGTGTGTGAGAGAGAGAAGAAGAATGGAGAAGTCCAGGAAAACATTTATTGGTTTGGTAGATAAGGCAATAGCAGCTGCCAGCTCCATGCGTCCTGATGAACTGCTCTTTTCTGACAAGGGAATTCTCTATCCTGCCACTGTTTGCAGTCCTGAAACATTCAAAGCCTTGGAGTCCTTTGAAGCCAGAAGGGATGATGTAATTTTGGCAGGATACCCTAAATCCGGTGAATATATTTTAATTTTTTCATAAACAAGTTCCTGTAATAGCAAGTAACAAGGTTTGTACTAAATATATGAAATATATATGATATGATACATAATATGATATTATGCTAAATAATTGCATTTAGAATGTTCGCCAAATTTTGTAAAACTGATTTCATTCTCAAAAAGTACCAGAAATGAATTATGCATATTTGATATGGGAAATTTTCCAAAAGACTGTGAAAAACATTCTGCTTTTCTTTTCTATAGCATCAAAGGTTTTTGTTATTTTTACTTTTCATAGTTATGAAGTTAAATGCAAAGTTGGAGAGAATCAAAATACAGTTTTTTACACCAGAGGTAACAAAATCTCCTGATATTCCACGATCTACTTCCACATGTATGTTTGTAAAGTTAAGAGCTTTATATTTTTACAATGGAGCCTTTGGTGCCTTCAAATGGTCTATTCAATATTCTTTAGTTTATATCACATAGATGTAAGAAAATATCTATCAAAAGTATTTTGGTAGTCCTTGAAGTGATTACATTGCTCTTTAATTTTTGGAAATCAAGAAGACATCTTTCTTAGGGTTACAAGTTTACCCTACGTATTCCCTCAATCTACCTCAAAGCAGTGGGCCAAAGGTTTGGATTAGATGTGCCTCATGTACACATTAATCTTGCTGTTTCTCTCTTCCAGCAATTGGCTCACACTGCCTTACAGCGGACAGTCACAGCTGACAGGATTGTGAAGTTTTTGCGTTTTCATTGTATTTTCTTTTTGAAGAAATGTTATGCACTGGAATGCACTTGTTGAGATTGCAGTGAGAAAGATGTAGGCACCCAGTGTCCAGAAGTCAGGACATGGTAAATTAGAGATGGGAGATCTATGCAGGCTCTTTGTTATCTTTTGAAGAAAAAGACAACAAGTGTGTCTAGAAAATGTCACTTCAGAGAGGTTTTTCCAGTTGTGAAAGAAAATGAATGCGCAATTTTCAGATCTAGTTCTGCTCCTGTCTTGAAGTGCTGTAACCCATCTTTCTTCCAATGATAACCCAGCACAGCAGAAAACACTTAATACATTAGGTTTTAAAGTATAGGATCACCACCCCAATCTCTCTTATATGTGTCACAATAAAATTTATTAGATAACGGCAGGTTTTCCTAGTTGAATCTCAGTGGTTCTTCTCCCTGATTAGTCAGTTTACAGTGTACAAGTTATTTTATGGTGTACTGAACTGTTCAAGTTGGAGAAATATGTCCTTATGAGGAGCAAAGGTAGGATCCTGGGTGGTGATTGACCAGACAGTCAGCTGTGATTGTATGACATGAAAGGAGACCAGGTAACTCACCTGGTTATACTACCACCTCTTGACTTCCTTGGTAAATCTTTTTCGTTCCATCCTAAAAGTTTTACAAGCACTTCTGTACTTTTCTTCTTTCAGGCACTAACTGGCTAAGTCAAATCTTAACTGACCTGATAGCCATATCTCAAAAGAAAACACCAGGTAGTGAAAGCAGTGTGAATGCTGAAGAACAAGAAGAATTCCCCTATCTTGAAGTTGGAGATGCTGAGAAATATGAGGTGGGAACAGAATATGTATGGAAAAGATCAACATTATGTGCTTCAAATACAGAATATATGAAATATGATCTATTCTATTGTTTGATAAGACCTTTACCACTCCTCTGTATGTGGCATCTGGTCAGGAGTAATCTCACCTGGACTGTCAAATACTGAACACATACAAATAAATAGACACTTCAGTGGGACTGAGAGGAGGACATAACCATGAGACATAAGAAGTTCAGAAATTCAACATAGCAGCTTTTGTATTTAAGAAGAGCTTCATGAAGTGTCAAATCATGTAATATTATCATTTGTCTCTTTTACTAGCTCTTCCTCCTCATCCCCTCTCTCAGTCCTTGAGATGCTTCAGCTTCCATAGATAGCTAATCTGTACTCCACCTCTAGATTTGATCCCTTGCCTACCAGAACTGAAGAGAATTATCACTGAAAAGAACTAGCAATGGATAGTCCTTTTTCCAATTGCTCATGGGCTTTTGAAGATTAGATCTACTCAGAGCAGCCCACTAATATCCCAGGACAACATTCACTAAAAACACCAAAACAAACCACTTCAAGCAGCCAATAACTGTAGATAAGTTCATCAAGGCCACATTTTAGCATAGGTTAATGAAAAGAATACTTGTACTAACTGAACTGTCCACTTTCCTCCTTCCAATTCCTCAAGCGAATGACCAAATTACCTTCTCCAAGATTTATGGTTACTCATCTCCGTCCTGAAAATCTTCCCAAATCTATCTTCCAAAACAATGCCAAGGTGGGTGCTGATTTTAATGTATTAAAGCAAACAATTCAACAGAATTTTTTTAAAGATCCAATGTAGTTCTTTTCTGGCACTTTTCATAATCACTCTTTTTTACTTAAGCGTTAAGCCTGGCCATTTCTACATGTTTAAGGCTCTACACGTTTAAGAAGTGCCATTCACCTCACTTAACCACAGTTTGCCCTTATTGGCCCCTTTGTGACAGTTTCCACAAGAGAGTTGCAGGGCTTGAACAAATCCTCCAGAGGCAAAATGGATTTTGACGGGATTTCCTGTGGGAGGAATTTTATGGCATTGTTGCAAGTGAGGGCTTCAATGTGTCAAATTTCCATGAGAATTTATATTTTTGTGAATTTTCCCTGCTACTTAAAAGATGACCTATGCCTGTATTGATCAAAACATACTTAAAACAAATTATTGATCCAAAAAAAATTTAAATTTAAACCAAATTTAATTACTGCATCTTCTGATTAGGGAATGAAATTGCTACTTCTGCAAGGAGCACACAATTTATTTGAAATCCCCAACTGCAGTTATAAAGTAGATTATTGTTATTTCTTTTTTTATGCTGTAGTCTGCTATGTCTTTCCCTATAAATAGTAATACAGTTTTTCTCTAGATATTGTTACTGATTCGTAATCCAAAAGATGTTGCTACATCTTTCTACCACTTTTGCAATGGCCTGCCTACTCTTCCCTCCTATGAGACCTGGGATGATTTCTTCACAGATTTCATGACAAAGAAAAGTACAGTATATTTTTCTGTCTATGTCAATTGTCCAATGATTTGTCGTTGTCTAAAAACATTTGTTCTTTGGTAAATCATCTTCTCTAGGAACTTTTCGTTTACAGTACAAACCAGAGAATAAAGACTGAGAGTTAGACTTCTTAACTGAAGTTTTCCATGCTTGTCTTACTGCTTGAGGATAAATATTTGTCAAAACTGCACTTCCACAGGCTTTTTAAATTTGTACAAACTGGTATTTTTCCTGGAAGAGGCAGTTCTTCCTTATCTCTATCTTGGGTCCCCTTTACCCCCTGCTCTCCTATGTCCATCATGTTCTGTCCATGGAGCTATAGAATCACTTCCATGCCAAATTGGATGAAAGGAATTATTTGGACTAAGTCTAGTGCATTAAAAAAGGGGACTAATTCTAATGCATTAAAAAAACTAATAGCACTAGTTTAAAGTTATGACTTTTGGGTAGTACATGGGCAGCAGAAAGGGGGTTTTAACAAGGTTTCAGACTGGATTAAGGGAGTCTTACAAGATGGTCGGCAAGATGATAGTTTTTTTGGTGCACTCAAAACTGTCTTGAAATGCTAACAAATTTTATTTATCTGACTTACAAATGGTATCATATGCTTGATCCTCGAGCAAAACTGATAATTCCCACAGAAGGGTGTGAACTTTGTCATAAACCTGATTAATAAAGCCCTTGGCTGACACAATTTAATGAGCAAAATTTGCATAATCTTAATTTATGCTTCATCTTTGGATTCTTTTGCTTTATTTAGTGGCCTGGGGATGCTATTTTGAATACCTTTCTGAATGGAACAAATATGCTGACAAAGAAAATATTATGACAATAACTTATGAAGAGGTAAAAGAGGTAAGGTTATCAATACTTAAAAATACTTTATATTTGAAGGGACATTTTTTTCCTGAACTAATATACCCTTATATGAATGCAGGGTATCCAAGGTGTGTGAGACAGATTCTTGTTTTAAGAATCTGTTTTAAGGGAAGAAGTGGTGAAATTCAAACTTAAAAGCCCTCTTAAAATTTTGCTTGTCAAAATGATTCTTGTTTTTTATTTATCTGTAAGACTGGATATGGCACTAAATACCATGGTTTAGTTGAGGTGTTAGAGCATGGGTTGGACTTGATGATCTCTAAGGTGCCTTCAAACCCAGTCATTCTGTGAATTCTGTAATATAAGCCCAAATAATTGTGAATCTAAATCACCAGTAATCCATCTTTGGGAAGGAGCTCTTGTGCTTTCAGCAGTATATATTTTACATAACTGTAAATCCTATATAATATTTTGTAATCTACAGGAAGGCACCTCATGTCTCCTCCAAAATAATTAAGGAGAAGAGAAACACTATGACCCACCCTAGTCCTGGTGCACTCTGTGAATACCCTCTGTATGCAGCCAGCAGAGAGATATAGGGAAGTGTAAACACCTTGGAAATCAGAGTCATTTGTTTGAAAGTCAGGCCATATGTTCCATTCCTCTTTCCAGAATCGTGCCCAGGGGGTGAAAAACATAGCTACATTCTTTGGAATTCCTCTGACTGAGGAACAGCTCCAGCTGGTGGTAGAGAGGAGCAGCTTCCAGTCTATGAAGAAAAACTCAGACAAGACCCATGGGTCACTTGGCAATATTCTCTTTCGCAAAGGTAGGAAGCTCCAAGGGGCTGAGAGGTAGAAATGTCCCACTCTCAAGGACTTGGGCCATGCTTTGGTTCTTTTTCCTGCACTCACATTAGAATTGTCAGTTAGTATCAAGCAGGTTATCACTGCTTTGCTTGAGAAGACTATTCAAGGACAACTGGTGAGGAAGATACCCAGCAAGGCTCTCACAGCAGAGCCACTCTTAGAGACTCACAGATGGCTGGCAGGAAGGAGGAACTGTCATGTGTCTGAATTCCTCTCCACCTCTGTGCCTGGATCACCAATTGCCCAGCCTTTGGAGCAGGCAGCACTGGGCCAAACTCAGCCTGAGTGGTGTGACCACACTTTGTAGGAGAGTATGGGAATCTTCTGAGATGGCCACTGCAGATGCCTGTTCACCCTTACACATTAGAACTAAGCCAAGCAGGCAAGAATCCAGGGACACACAAGAGAGGGAAGAGAAGGGAACTACTTTTGCAGTGTAATATGGGGGACATGGACATGAGAAGGGCAACCTGGTTGTCAGAATCTATTTCTGCATTTTACATTGAGGAAATAACTGGATAAAAACTGAAGCTGCAGAAGGAGCAGAAAGTCAGCTCATTCTCCTGGCAGATGATTCTTAATTCTTCATGATCTTCCACTTTGCCAGTCATAGCTGACTAGAGGAGAGAGATGGAGGGAAACAGAATTTTAGGCTGCCTTTTTGAACACAGTCACCTAAAGAGGAGTATGTTCTTTGGCATTGTAGCAAAAGATGATTCACATATAAATGTAACTCCACTGACAGCAGAAAATTATATTGGTATAGAAAAATGTTCCATCTGGAAAATGGATCAACACAATTTAGTGTACAAAGCAATAAAAATGACAGCCTATAGAATAAAAAATGAAATTTCTTGGTTTTCAAGAGTTTGTTCCTGCTTCTTTGAAGGTGGTGTAAGTGACTGGAAGAATCTTTTCACTGAAGATCAGAATGAGAAAATGGACAAAGTATTTGAGGAACATATAGCAGGAACGAAGCTCGGGAAAAAGTTGAAGTATGACTTGTACTGCAAAGCCTGAAGAGAACTGAAATGTGGTTAGAACAAGAACTCTGCAAGGCAGACTCAGATCATCTGAATGCTATATACTGGAAACCTAGATTAAAGGATGTAAGCACCTTAGAATTGCTATAAGAGTCATTGCAGCAGCCTTTACAGTGACACTGATGAGTGATGAGCATTTTGTTTTATGGTGAGATCTTTGGCTACACCCATTTGCAGAAGAAGATGTCAACTAATGATATTTACAAATACTCAACATCACTGTTCCATCTGTCACCTGGAAGGAAATTTTTCTTCTTTTCTTTCTAGACAAATTCTATCTCTGTAGCTGATTTCTAATTATTTAGTATGCAGATTATTTTTTCTTCAAAAATATTTCAAATCAGTCAACATCTTCACAGAAAATATCACTAGCAAAAACAGCGATATGACAGAAGTCTCACAAACGAGATCATCCATGAATTCGTCACAAATTGAATCAAAGCTAGAGAAAGGAGAAAGAAGGGGAATATGGATCAGTGTTTGTAGGGCTCTTCATCTCTCTGAATGCAAAATATCAAGATGGATTTCAGATATGGTCAGAAGTTAAGAGGCAAGATTCAGTCAGAGGCACTGCTTTTTATAGGATCACAGAGCAGCCCAGTTTGGAAGAGACCTTGAGAAATCATCTGGCACAACCTTTCATGGGAAAGGGAGCCTGGATGAGGCTAAATATCTAAATATCATATCATGAAACCTCCAGTGATGAGGATTCTACCTTATTTCTGTAGGCATTGTTCCAGCAACTGGTTGTTCTTGCTGTAAAGAACTTCATGTATCAAGATTAAACCTCCCCTGTTGCAACTTGACTTCACTGCCTCCTTTCTTCTCCATGTGGTGTTTGGTGAATAGGGAGCCTTTATCCTCTTTGTAGCTTCCCTTTAAGCACTGAAAACTGTGATGAGGTTGTCCCTGAGCCTTCTCAACTTTGTGGTCCTCCTTAGGAAGCCCTCTGCTTTCTTTGTGTCTTTCTTGAAAATGCCTCCATTGAGGTAGTGGGGTTGTCAAGAGTGATGGTGTGAGACATTGCTCTACCCAGCTCTTTTGTACTGCCATTGGCATTTGCCTCTCTAGACACAGTATTTCAGATTTTTCCAGGGACCTGTTCTGGAAAAATAAGGCAAAATGAGGTTCTGTAAGTATAGTTGAATTAAAACCAGGAAAAGCCCCAGCCAACTTATAGATCCATCACTGAGTAGATAAGGTGTAAAAATAAAATATAGAGATGGAAGGAATGAAATATTCAAAGATTTTTTTTTTATTCTTCTAAAGCTGGTTGATTCTGCTTGGACATAAGTGGACATGCAGAGTTTCGTAAAGAAATTGGAATGCTAGAAGTAATACTTAGAATATTTAGAAAATAAATGAATGAATTCAAAAGCAGAGCAGCAGAAAGTCCTGTGGCAAAGCATCTTTGAACAACTGCAAGTTATCTGTAAGCAACCAGAAAGGTACCAGATTCCTGGATGAGAACATACATAACAGCAGTGTTTAAAAACTTCTGAAGGAAGAATCAGAATAGAACAGTCTACTTAACTTGATACTTAGGAATGTAGTAGCAAAAATGACAAAGCAACCGACCATGGAACATTTTGAAGAAAATGAAATAGTAAATATAAATTATGGTAAAGAAGTTTGTGATCCTCCTTAAGATAACTTACCTCTTGAATAAGCCACTGACAGAAAATACAAGAGATGAGAGCATTGGGGAGGGCCTGAAATTATGTGACTTAAGAGACACAAATTTATGTGGAGGTGGCAATATACGAACATTGGTTATGGAAATGAAAGTACCGAAAGTAGAGTGAGGTTCTTAGAAATTCATACAACAGCAATAAAAGGCATTCAGAAGCACTGTCAGAAGCAGCAATACTTTCAGGAATATCCACTTGTTCCCGTGGATATGATGAACTTGGTTGCAATAGTTTGCTTATGGTCACACTGCATATACCGGTTGACAGCAAAATTGGGAGGGCAATTAAAGCAATCTCCTTTAGTGGTGAGTCCTGATCCCATTCAATCTTGTTTTTAACACTGGTGGGCAGACTAATATCACACACTGTATCATAAATGACTGACTTGTAAGTCTGGGGATCAGAAGAGAGGGCTGAAAGTACTAGGAGAAATGGCAAAACGATTTGAAACATAACACATTGAGAAGATGAGGGAACCCAGCGTTTAGTAATGGTAAGTTTAAAATTCTATGTTTAGAAAAGGGAAGCCAAAGGAGCAGGTACTTGATGGGGGTAAATCACTCAGGCAGCAACTGGCCTAAAAACACCTGATGAATCACTTAGCAAGGACTAACATGATGACAGTGCCAGAAAATAAAAGGCTCAGATCTTACTCTGGTCTTGCTGATCTGGTTGAAAAGCAAACCATGACCCATTTTCTGCAGTTTTAGCCTCTCCTGTGTCATCCCAAGGCTTGAATTCATTCCCCTTTGTGTCCTTAACAATCTCACTCTGAAGGACAGAGCTATTCAGAGCAGTAACACCTCATGTGCTTTTGCTCCATTTGAGATACTCAGTGGGCCCTTGCATTCAGTGTGGTAAGGAGGTGGAAGAAGAAAAGGATGGAAAAGGCAAGCGGCCATGTCAAAAAATGAATGTAGGCAAGGAAACTTGATGGATGAGTGACATTTTGAGAGAGTGAAAAGTAAGCAGAGATGAGGCCAGTGAGTGTGAGAGTCAATTCAGAAAAACTTGGGAATCTGTTTTGAAGGTAAGACATAATTGACTGACAATAGACATGGCTCACAAAATTTATTACTTCTAGATTCTCACCAATTGTCAAAAAAAGAAAAAAAAAGAAAAGTAAACTATCATTCTTTTTGGTCTAGTCTATTTTTGTTGCCTATGATGCCTAAAAAGAGAAATTTCCACTGAAAATTATGTTTATATTGTATTTTTATCTGTTTCCTTTAAAGATAATGAACAAACTGGAAAACTTATATTAGCCTATCTTCCACCTCATGTCCTTTCCCCAGTCCATTTCCCAAGCAAAGTTAGGCTGAGTCTTCCATTCAGGTGCATCTTCTCTTTATGGTGTACTGCAAATGCTCCTGATAACAGCTTTTGCATCCAAGGCAGATCTTCCTGTGGCTAACTGAGCAACTCAAGAGTTGTCCCTGAGGAGCACAGGGGCTGTTCCACATTCATTGAGCTGCACAGCCCAAGACACTTTGGCTGCTGGACAGACAGTGCTGGACTGGGACTTGCATTGCTGGCATACTCAGGATCCTTGGTTGCCCTGAGCCTCTCTAGAGAGACAGGGCTGCTCTAGCCTGCCTTGTGTGCAGCTCCTGAGCAGACAGACATATGGCTGCACTGGGCACCCTGCTCATGAGCAGAGAGCAGAGGCTGAGGGTTGAAGGAGCTGGAGGCACCTGTGTCCCCAGTGGCCCAGGGGACACGTTGGTACATTTCATGCTGAGGTATTACAGTGATCTGGCTCCCTCAGGATTCAGGCAGCTGGCTCCAAAGAAAATTTCTTAGGCAGCTGGCCTGAGGAAAAAAAAAAGATAATTTTTTGATGCCCTTACTCTTTAGAATTGGAAAATAGGTGGAAATTTTCCTCTGCAATTCTGAGTTAGCTCATGAACAAGGAGCTGAAAAGAATAACTAAAACAAAGCTTACCGAAAGCATAATATATGAACAGTGTCTTCAACTTTTAAGAGTAAAATGGTACTGCTAGAGAAAGTATTTCCAATAAAATGGTCTATTTTGATGGTTCTGCATTTTGGGAGACCAGACAAATTATTTTAAATTATTCTTTGTAGGTAATTTTAAGCAATCTTCCAAGTCTTGCAGGTACAATTTTCATTTGATACTATCTCATGTTTAATTAATCTTGTGTCTAACATCCATTTATGAAGAAAGAGACAAGGATGTGATACAATGTTTTGACATATGGGTAGTGAATGAGACCCATATTGTATTCAAGGGCATGAAGGAGAGTGAAAGGCTCCTTCACAGGATAAATCACGTTCCTCTCTTGCCTGTTCTCTGTTGGGATGACCAGTGGAAATACCCATTTCACCATCTCAGCACTCCTTACCTTCTAAAAAGCTGTCACCCAGAATACAAATAACTGACTTAGAAGGAACAATTTCACCAAAGATAAATTATGAACATGAGGAGAGGCAAATGAAAGTGAAGTAGTACAAGTAGAATTTGATTCACACGCATGTAGAAACTAAGTATTAAAACGTCACATGCAAGTGACCCTCCTGTCAGATTTAATGACACAAAATTCTCAAATGTGAGTATTTCATCCTGAGAGAATCTGGTTAGGGTGATACCTGTCCTCAGCTCTGGATATTGCCTTACAGTGCCTGGATGCAGGACAGAGCCATTGCCTGTAAGGAACCTTTATCCTGGGATGTGTATCCATTTCTGGAGTCAACGGCAAGCCAGGTTGAGAACCACTGTCCAGGTATGCACTACATACGTGCTCCTTGTCCAACTGGCAAATTGCACTGCATTAATCACCAGTGATAAATATTTTAGGAAATAACATTTACAGGTTGTTTGTTGGTTTAATTTAACATTTTTAATCTTACTAGTTGCCCCAATATTTCCTGTTGCTGGTATCAGTAGCATCAAAGACCATAGGTCTTTGCCTGAGACTTAAATATTGAACCTGAGTCTAAAGCCAGTTCCTTTGCTGGGGTCAGGGCAGTCAGCAGCTCATCATCTGAAGTGCATGATAAAACACTACTCACTGTAGCTGAGGTTATATTGTCACCAACTCCCTAAGCACTGATCAGTTGTTAAACAATGACTGAGCTCATTAAAGAAATGTAGCAATGAGTAATTTTTGTGTAACCACCAGAAAAACAGACCTCTGTAGTGCAGTCTGATGAGTGGCCCAAGAGTGCCTGTGCCCCTGTGCCCTCCTGGGCTCCAGCAGCAGGCAGCAGCCAGCCACACTCACAGATAGGACTGTCCTCAGCTCAGGCTCTAGTGCACTGAACA